AATACAAATATATCTCTTCTCGCGTATCGTATAAAAGGAAAGTTACAATTGCGAAACTATAGAAAATTAGATATCATCGAAAGGAAGAAAGAGAGAGAGAGAGAGAGAAAGAAATAGAGAGAGAATGTGAGAATGACAAGGATAGAAAGGCACATTAGTTATCACGACATGATCGCAGTCATTCCATGAATACAATGGCCGTTGGTGCGTTTGATCGTGTCAGCGTGATCTTACATGCAATTGATTAGTTCGATGACCACGTTAAATAGGTAACGGTTGCGTGATCCGCAAACGCATTCTTTTCGATTTCTCTTCTATATACAACAGGAAGAACAACCAAAAGAAATTATTTTATCGATTCGATGAACGTTCCATGATAATATTTTAATCAATCAAATAATTCGATTCTATTCGATAATGCGAAATCGTTTTAATTAATCCATCTAGTTCTTATTATAATGAGAAATATATATATTTCTTATTTCTATTTATTATGATTATTATGATTATATCTATATTATTATGATTAGTATTATTATTATTATTATTATTATTATTATTATTATTATTATTATTATTATTATTATTATTAGTATTATTATTATTATTATTATTATTATTATTATTATTATTATTATTATTAATATTATTATTATTATTAATATTATTATTATATATAAATGTATTAAAGAAACATATATACATATATATTTATATCGAAACTAAAAGTTGTTGAATAATTTTATAAATGATTTACTTTTCTTCAAGACTTCTTAAGTAAATTTCGTTTTCTTTGTTCATTATTTATTTTTTTTTTTCATATTAGGAACTAAGAAAATTCCTAAGCTTGTAGATTTATATAACGAAAAAAAAAAGGAAGAAAGAAAGAAAAAAGAAACCAATTAGCTTAAAAACTCTCGAGAAATTGTTATTGATTTTTATGATAACCTAGGGACTTTTGGCTGACTTAGAAAATTTTTATCCATTCCGTATTAAAAATTTTTTATCAGCCAATTTAAAAAAGAAAAAAAAAATATATATATATATATATTTTTACACACCCACACACACACATAAAATATTGAAAAAGACAGAAAAAACAACAAAAAAGAGGAAGAAACGAACGACGTATAAAATATGTTTTGAAAAAAAAAAAAAAGAAAAGAGAAGAATAGAAAAGAAAAGAAAAGACAAATCTAATATTATTCGACGAAACGTTGCGCCCGTTAAAATAAAATGAGATGAAATGAAATGAAAAAAAAATCCGTAAATAAGTACGCGGCAAAATTTGAAAAATCATGTCTCTCTAGCTTAGCTCTTACCCCACCCCATTCCATCTCATCCCTTCACCCCCCAATCGACTCACTAAACTCCCGCCCTCTTTTTCTTCGTTAGATCATTAGCTCGTTAGTCTGGTAGTAACACGTCGAGCTAACGGCAGTTCCATTCGTTCTAACCTTCTTTTTATTTTTCGAACGCATAAACTATATTATCTAACAATAAGTTAATAAGTTAAAAGAGGTAATAGAAAGAATTAAATAAGAGGTAAACGTAAATAATTAATTATTCTTATTTGGTTTATTAAGATCAATTAATTTTATAATTATAACTCATTCGAAACCGGTTTGAACGATTATCATATAAACAAAACAATTTATCGGATCTTTTTGTTAGTGTTTCTATTTACTATTCCTTCCCCTTTCTCCTTTTTTCTATACTTTTTTCATACATTCAACATAAATACATATATATACATACATATATATATATATACATTTGTGTGTTATATATATATATATATTAATTCTGTCCTTCATTCGTTTTACTTTTCTTTCATTTTGGATCATCCATTCTCGCGATTCTTCTCGCAAATTCGTTAATCTAGTTAGAATTCTTCAAGTTGACTCAAACGAAATTATCTAAATCTAATATTTAACAATTATAACTTGGGTAAATGAAATGATTTTCGTTTAATTATCGCATAATCATTTTCATATTCGCGGTACCGTCGATTTGTTACTTATTAGTATATTGAATTGTTTGATTCTTTTTTCTTCTTTCTTTATTTAATTATTTAATTATTTCTTTCTTTCTTTCTTTATTTATTTATTAACTCATACGAAAATTCTGCGCAGAGTATTTCAGTTCTTTTTTTTTTTATTTTTTTTTATTTTTAATTTTTTTTTTTTTTTTTTTTTTTTTTATTTTTTTTTAAATTTCTTTTTCCTTTAACAAAGATTTAAAATGGAAACTCGTCGTTGTCGTTATTATTATTACTATAGGTCATATATCATTTGTCACTGTGTACGGTTGTAATTTCTTCGATTGCGAATTCGCAAGAAATATTATTTATCTTACGAAATATTATTCAGTTTAACATTGAAATCAATTGTATAATCGATAACGACTTTTATTGTAGCAATCGACGTATATTAATAATATGGCCGACAGGGAAGGAGGAGAAAAAAGAAAGAAAAGAAACGTTTTATTTACATTTTCGAAATCGAACGTAATATATATATAAATGTTCCGTGGACTCGAGGAAACTGGTGGATAAAAACAACGCGATGACGAAGTAAAAAATGAAAAAGGGAAGAAAAAAGAAAGAAGAAAAAAGAAGAGAAAAAAAGAGAAAGAGAGAAGTTTCTCGATGTTTAAATATAACGCGCTCGTTTCTTACATAATTCATACAGATTCACACACGCGCGCGCACTTTGTGGGTCGACGGTTTTTTTACATGTGGGACAGAAACATGTCTCGTCGCGTCGCTCATTTTTAAAGGACGAAATGAATTGTGCGATGCTATTTTTAAAATTTTAGTTACGATCAAATGATATGAAAAACAAAAAATAAAAACGTAGAAGGCCTCTATCCATCTTATTCATCTCTCTTCCTCATTTTCTCTCTCTCTCTCTCTCCTCTCTCTCCTTTCTCTCCTCTCTCTCTCTCTTTCTCATTAATTGCGAAACGTTGAATTGAAAATCGAGATATTTAATCTGTTAACATGGGTCTTTGTTAATAATCATTTTTATTTTTATTTTTATAATTAAAAATAATGTCGAAAGTAAATAGAGAAAAAAGATTAAAATTATAAATCATATAGTAATAGAAAAATTAAATTTAATGAACTTTTTATAACATATTCGATATTATTAATTTGATTGTTCGTTATTTTGAACGATAATATTAATAATAGTAATAATAACAATAATAATAATAATAGTAATAATAATAATAATAATAATAATAATAATAATAATAATAATAATAATAATTCGGTCGTAAACGACATTTCAATTTATCGCGGTATGAGCAAATGTAAAAAAAAAACGTTACGTAAGCAATTGTAAAAAAAAAAAACAAAAAAAAAAAAAAAGAAAAAATCTTTGTAAATTTTAACAGTAAGTCGATCGAAGAAGTCCTTTTTCTATGGATAAACGTATACAACGGCATTTGATAACGGATTGAATGGTATTATCTACGACGAAACATTAGATGGTGGGATTAAGGAAAACGAAAAATCCTAAATTGGAGATTTAATAAGAGGAAGAGAAAACTAAAATGGAAAAGTTAAATGAACTACAATTGATGATTAATAATGTGTTCAATACACTTAAAGTTTTTTCCTATATTATTGAAGAAATTCAAACGATTATGGAAAAGAAAGATGACGAAATTAAAGGACTACAGGATGAAGTTAAAATTTTTAGATCGATAACAGATATTATATACATGAAGGCCAAAAGAAGAAGAAAAAGAAATGCAATATCTGCTGAACCTGTTTCGAACGATAAATCAATAGGAAGAATTGATAAGGATTTAAGGTAGAACCAGTAGAAAATAAATTCTGATAATGGCACGATTCACTTTTGTTTTTGTTTCCTTTATCTGCTTTAGGTGTACGTCTATACGTGTTCATTTTTTTCTTTTCTTTTCTATTTTTTTTTTCTGTTTCTTTTTTATATAAAAAGATATATCGTTGTCAAATCAAATTACAGGATGTAATTGTTATTTTAACAATAAAAAAAAAAAAAGGAAAAAGGAGAAAATGTAATAAACATATTGTTGGTTATTTACATATAAGATATTGAAAAATCAGATATTACTTATTTGACTAATTTAGTAAAATACAATATAAATATCATTCAAGTGAAAGGAAGAAAAAGAAAAGAAACAAAAAAAGACAAAGAAAAGATGTTCCTGGAGATAAGGTAATTTTAAAAACAGACGAGTATAAAGATATCAAACGAATTTTAATCTTTTCTATAAATATAAATCTGAAATCTGAAATATATATATATATATATATATATATATATATATGCATACATACATATGTATATGTAAATATTGTAATGTATACACATATATTATAATGTATATGCATATGTATATATTATAATATATATTTATATATATATATATATATATGCATACATACATACATATGTATATGTATATATTGTAATGTATACGCATATATTATAATGTATATGCATATGTATATATTATAATATATATTTATATGTATACATATATATATATATATATATGTATGCATATATTGTCAAAATAAATGTTTTGATATTATCAAAAAGATTCCAATCTACGTTCTAATCATTTCATAATGAAAATGCGATATATTGAAGATAGATCGTTGATCACGATAGGTAGAACGAGCTCATTTATTTTCAACCCGTTATTCCGCGACCGTATTTTATAATTCCCGTTGTAAGATAGTGTTTACTTAGTATTTACACGAGTGTCGACGGGCATCATTATGATGAACGGTCGACAAAATTTTCAATATCCATGTTGTCATGAAATAATAAAACAATTGTGTTCGTATATCGTTTCATTAATCATAAATAACATTTAAAAATTGTTGTTTATAATAAATGTAAATAATTTTTTCTATCTTGTTTTATATTTTATTCTCTTTCTTTTTTTTTTATTTATTAATTTTTTTCTTTTTTTTTTTTCTCTCTCCTCCCATATAGATCCAGGATTCTTATCAAAGAGGCAATTCTATCGAATGACTTCATGAAGCATCTAAGCATGGCGCAAATTGAAGAAATAGTTGATTGTATGTTCCCGATTACCTTTGAACGTAATTCCACCATAGTACGTGAAGGAGATGTTGGCTCGACTGTATTTGTCTTAGACGGTAAGTAAATTTATCAATATTATCATTATTAAACATTATTATCTCTATAAAATTTACAAATTTTACGTATGATTTCTCTTAAAATACATATAGAATATGAACGAATAATTTTTAAAGTAATCAATTAATTAATAAATTTAAATACGAATAATACAATAATAATAATAATAATAATAATAATAATAATAATAATAATAATAATAATAATTTCTTGTTTGAACGTATCGATACTGTCGATTTTAATTTAAGAATATTCGTACGTCTTTTAAAGGTCGATGAAAAGAAAGAAGTATGGCTGAAGGCATATTTTATGCTCTTGATCAATTAAAAATGTAATAAGAAATAATAGCTATGAGAAAGAATTTGAAATGAAATTTTATTTAGATAATAAATCATAGACATATAATTTCTAATCGTAGAATAGATTAGATTAGGTCGAATTAAATTACGTTCAATGTTGATATTTAAAAAGAATGCACGTCATTGTTTATGTCTACTTTAATAATATGTTCGATTCAATCGAACAAATCATTCGAAACTCATAACGAGGAATTCTCGTAAATAAGATTTTTTTTCTTAATCTTACAAAATACTACGATTTTTTTTCTTTCTCTTTTTTTTTTTTCTTTTTTTTCGTTTTTTTCTGATTCCACGTGAAAGAATTTGTATCGACGAAAATATTTACTTGACGATTTTGATCTTTCTTTTTAAAGAACGTGAAAATAAAAACAAATATTATTTACGATGAATATTAGTAAAGAATATTGGTAACGATGAAACTAATCGAGTTATGATCATTTTGATCATAATAATTATAATAATGTGTTGTTCTTTAAAAAAGAAAAATATCATCAAAATATTATTGTTTTTTTTTTTTTTTTTTTTTTTTAATATTTATCGAATTACTATGCCTAATTTTTATAATAATAATATCTTATATTTATATATAGTAGACATACGATATATTATATATATAAGAAGAGATAAGATGAAATCTAGTAACGATTTTGTATGACACAACATTCTCTCTCATTTTACGATACATTATCCGTAATATCTTTATTTTGATATCATTTGATAATAGTTACGATTCAATGATATGATATAATATTAAATAATGATGACGTTTATACGTTTATAATGTAATACCGATAGACGGTGCGAAAAAGAGAAAAAGAAATAATGCAAAAAAAAAAAAAAAATAAAAAAAAGAAAACAGAAGAAAAATAAACAAAAAAAGGAAATATATAAATCACGAAAATGAGGTTATTATTTGTTTGGAATAAACACGTCATGTCAAAATGATTTGACGACATTTATTCGCATTATCAAAAGTGTTAAATGTTATCCGAATAACTGAATTGTACAATATGTCAGGTGAAAAAAATATTTTATTCGCTTATCACAGGATTCAAAAACGAAAAGAAAAAAATTTTTTTCTTTTTTTTAATTAAATATTCGGACAAAATGTATAAATACTTTTTTTATTTGTTCAAAAAGACGTCGCGTTTGAACATTTTCTTTTTTTTTTTGTCTCTCTTCTATCTTTACTACAATTACTTTCAATTAAAGCATCGTAAATTATAAAAATATGAATAGATCGGTAAAAATATAATTTCAATATTAAATAAAATCGTTAAAATATTTTGTCCTCGTTATAAAAAAATATTTTCGTTATTTTCCGAACGAACAATAATTCTTATACATTAATTCCACTGATTAAAGGAATATTTCGTCCTCTTTTCTCTCTCTCTCTCTCTCTCTCTCTCTCTCTCTCTCTCTCTCTCTCTCTTTCTTTCTCTCTCTCCTTCTATCCACCCACGTACGAAAAAAAAGAAAAGGAAAGAAAAATGAGAGATAATTTAAATCATCGACGAAAATAGAAAATTATGAGATTAATCGTTTCCGAGATGAGCGCATAACACACACACACACACACACACACACACACACACACACACACACACACACACATAGAAAAAAAAAGGAAACAGAAAATATTGGCACATTCAACGTAGATCTAAATAAGAACGATTAAAGTTTCTCGTCTCTTTGAAGATCAAAAACATTCGAGAATGAAAACCACTGTCCTTTCTCTCACAGAGCGGAGAGGGCCGAATGGTTAGATAGTAGGGATAGTTGTCAGTTGCGAAGAGGAAAAGGGAGGGGAGAGTGGGACCTCTCGTGTGCACGGAGGAGTTCGCGAGCGTGCTTTTCACCAGTCGCCAACGCTGTCAGTGAGGAGCGTCAGTCTCGAAGGAGTGGTCCTAGCTGGAGTGTTGTTATCCTCGTTTAAAATCTATGAAATCGATCCTTCGTTAAAGGAATTTACGTGTTACGTTGTCAAATTTATAGTGCCTACGAAGAATCTGATTTATTATTTTTGTGCTCTCGCAATCCGTAAAGTTGAAAATCAAAAAGGAAAGAAAAATTAAAAACAAAAAAAAGTAACAAGAAAGAAAGGAACAATTAAAAAATACAAATTTTCTTTTTTGAGTGTAGTACGTACATATATACGTACATATATACGTACTTACGTACGTATAGATACACACATATATATATATATATATATATATATATATATATTATATAGAGGTATAAATAAATATAATATATATATGTATTTATATATAAACATAAATAAGTGAAACGGAAATTATTGTGCAGAAAGAAGAAAGGAGAAAGAAATTATTTATATTTCGTTTGGTTCGGCTTCAACCGCAAAGATTTTACGAGGGTTCGACGGAGCCAAGAAAATGACGCCGTACCGTCGATCGTAACGAGCAAGCTTCTCATAGGAACACCAACCTTCTTTGATCTCAAGGATCCCATCTCTTTGGGATCGCCAAGTGAAGAAGGAGAAGAAGACTTTTATATTTTTTCGTTTTCTCTTTTTTTTTTTTTTTTTTTTTTTTTTTTTTTTTTTTTTTTTTTTTTTTTTTTTTTTTTTTTTTTTTTTTTGGAAAGAATACATTTAGATATGAAGAAATCTTCGTATGTTCTCACGAGGATTTATCGATCACGCGAACGAGATAGACAAAAAGAAAGGATATCAAAAAGATCACTGTGACATTGAGAAGGATGAATTCAGTTAAATGATATTTCTATAAATCTTTATACTTCTGTTTATTTTGAACCTACGTGATGATACTCTAACGTTGACTGAGAATTTAGAAGAAAAAGAAGAAGGAAAGAGAAAAAAAATGTTTCATTAGAGAAACTGTACGAGCGTGTGTTATGTTTGACGTCATTCGGTCAACACAGCCGTCCGAAGAAAATCGAAAACGTAAGATGAGGAATTTTAGCGATGCTACTTCTTTCAAAGTTTTGTCGTCATCTTCAAACACGATCAAGATCGTCATACGGATTTGTAATATTTAATATTATACAAAGTTCCGTTCAAAAAATGTTACGTCGTTATTACGTTGAGTCTCGACTTGTACTTCGTGATAGAGGAAATACGTTTGTGGATTTGTTCGTCATAAGAAAATTTGTTTATCGTACCGAACGGATATATTTAACGTCGTCGATATATTCATGAAAGAAAAAAAAATACAAAGCTTTTCGAGTTAGTTACGTTCAATCGTAAATCTCGAACTACCGACGTCTCTTACATAAGATACCAACATACCTACTCTCTCACTCTCTCTCTCTTTATCTATCTACCTATCGATCACTAAGATCATACTTGATGAATTATAAGACAAGAGAGAGAGAGAGAGAGAGAGTGCAAGAGGATTCAAGGTAGACGGAATGATTCATTCACCTATAATGGATTAAAGCTAATATTCGCGATTGAATTATTCTTTCGTCGAAGAAATTAAATAAAAATAAAAACGGAAAGAAAGAAAAAGAACAAACAAATATCCGAAAAAAGATGAAAGTCCGAAGTTATCCTGGTCGGGCTGTACTGGAAGACCCGGAACTTCTATTGGACCCGGACGCGACACGAGGTCGTGCAATGGAATTACTTTACGAGGCCAGTTGGAGAGAATGTGGCATCAACTGGACAAACGACAGTAGGAGCAACAAGGTGGTGTCTCGTGAACGGGACGAATTGGAATGCCGAGAACCGTACGCCGAAGTGATATCACAATTGGAAGGAGTACTTGAGGGTGGTAATCCTAATAATGGTGGTGGTGTTAGCGGTGTTAGTAGTGGTGTTGTTGGTAATGGTGGTGTTATTATTGGTGATGGTGATGATGATGGTGGTGACGATGATGCCGAAGATTCGAGGGGTTCTTCAAGTCCAAAAGAATGTAGGAGATCTAGGAGATCTAGCAGCACTGATACAACAGCCAGCAGTACCGATTCGTCCGAATCAAATCAGACTGTTGTTGGCAATGAACAAAGCGGATTTCTCATTCCAAGACCGAGACTCATCGTACCGGTTCACACCTACGCTAGAAGACGACGAACCGGGGCTCCGCAACCTATCAGAAGACGGCAAATACGCCAAGGTACAACCAATCTTGCCCCCAACAGGACACTCTACTTGTTTCTTTTTTATACACAAACACATACACACATATATATATATATATATTTTCTTCTCTTTCTCTCTTACCATTCGAGTAGATCCGGTAAAACCATATTCTCTTTCTTCCTGCGAAGGACGACGATCTTTTCTTCGACGAGTTACCTTACCTGTTTAAAGTAGCAGACATACTACCCATGAGAGTCCTCTACCTCATTTCTTGCCACTAACCAAAGAAAGAACGGAATTATCTTGAAAGAACGGAGAATAAATCGTGACATTTTATGCCTTTTTTTTTATTTCTTTCCTTTTTTCTTTTTCTTCTTTTTTTAATTTCTTATGATAATAATCCGTGAAACGAGATAATTTTCTTCCATCGATCAATACACTCGACGAAGAAAAGAATCTGGATTATCTTTAAGTTACTTACTTCTATCATCGATCATTCTTGTTATTACAGTTGAATTATGGATTTCTTAACGTTGACTAAGTAAACGCAATATCATCATCCTCTTCTTGT